CCGATCCCGTCCGTAGTGGGCGCCCCGTATAAAAAAACAAACGCGTTTGTTTTCAGTTTCAGGCGATCGAGTCGGGCGATCGGCCCGATCCAGCCGTAGTGGGCACCCCGTATTAGGATACGGCTAGCCAGTTCTGATGGTGCACAGCATGACACCAGTCCGTTTTTACCGTAACAGAAATCTACCAAAGTGTGCATGACAGAACCGTATGTTTATTACAAGTAGCATTGTTGCTGGGGGGGTTTTCTTCAGCACGGTGTTGATTTTATTGAAACAGGTGAATTAGGAGTGGAGTAGTTGTAACGAAGTTAGTGAAGTTGAAAAAAAAATTGGATACAACGTAGTCTGCGTACAAAGGGGGAAGAATAACTTTCATTCAGTTTACGAACAGTAAAATAATCATACGGATACGCTGTGGAGTTCAATGGGCCAGCATTTGCGATGTAATCGTATGGCTCTTCGCTTCTGCTTACACAAGACGTCAGTTCGATTTCCGTAGGATGAAGTTGTTGGGTAATTTTCTTGTTTTCGTTTTTTGGGGGAGGGGTATTTCTTTTCTTTCTTTTTTTTCTTTTTGTATGAAGTATCTCCTGTCTGGTGGGATGGCGAACCACACTCAGGCCAAATTTAATTGACGCAGACAGGCGGGATCGAATCACAGCATCCCTGCCCTCCATCCACCTAAATGATCTAAATTGAGTCAATGAGGACGTAATAAAATCGTTCTAACAATCCCCCACAAAGTTCAATTCTTCACAAATATGTTAGGGGTTTGTTTGTTGGGGTTTCTTCAGGTACTCAATACGTACAACGCACCTAATATCCTAGACCATCTGCAAAACAGAACAGCTCACAGCTCACATCCCACATCTCACACCCCACATCTCACACTAGTCAATTTCTCTGGAATGTCACGACTGAGGGAATGAGCCTCTCTCAAGAATGACGAATATGGGTGGGGGAACTCAGATTGCACTAAGATGGACTCCCACAGGAAAACGCATAGGAGGCAGACGAAATGAGTGCACGGGTGTCGGCTCTTTGATGGTAAGGTTGGTAAGGTCTCGCAGCGAGGCTCGAGAAAGCCCCAAGGGAGTAGCCCAAATTGCAGGAAATAGCTGTACCCTTCCGCCCACACACCGCGCTTCGTTACAGCGAAACCATGCAGTAATGTGTGAGTAACGCGCATGATTCTACTCATTGCGCTTGTCGGTGAGACAGACAGACAGACAGGCAGACAGGTGGTAAGGTTAGCCTCAGCCTCAACAGCCCTGTTGCAAACTCTGAGCAAAAACAGGTGCTAGACGTTCGGTAAAAAACACAATAATTGATTCGTCTAGATCGTTTGAGACTTTGTGGGCGCGTGGACAAAAGACGTGTTGTGCTTAGTTCATGGACGAGTTTTTTAGCTGTTTTTCTTTGTTTGCTTGCTTGCTTACTTTTTATTTTGTTTTGTTTGTTGGTTTGTTGTTGTTGTTGTTGTTTTGTTGGGGGGGATATTTTCTTTAAATGAAGGTATTTTGCGTTCCAATCGAAACAATTTAGAATATAACATAAGAGGCGGGCTTCGACCATACTTCGCTACCCTAGAATTACCAACTCCTATCTGCTTTTGAGAGATTTGACGTACACAATTTTGAGTTTCACAACATGTCAAGATTTTCGAAAGTAAGTCTTTGAATATTTTGATAACGATTCCGAATGATCTGACGATTTTGATAGAGTAGATAGAACATTTGATTTCTGACCTCATGGTAACTTAAAATTGCCAAAAATGTCAAATAGAACTTTGTAATTCTGAGTTAGTGACTAATCAGGGCCAATCCGAACTTAAAGGGAAACAGTTTCTCAGCAAAAAGACCGAGATACTCCATGAAAATTCTTCTCACAATGGAATCGAACTCGGGTCTCCTGTGTGTGAAGGCAAAGCGCCAAACCGCTGTACCACAGATGTCTGTAACGTGTAGTATGTTTGTATATAACGTATATCGTGTGTGTGTGTGTGTGTGTGTG